AAGGGGTTAACAAATAGCTGAAGTGAAATCTCCAGGATGCACTTCATGGTGTGAGAGCTGCTTCTGTTTACTGGGGACTCTTGCAATTAGGACTTTCTTAAAATGAATAGACACTGAACTTGCTTTATTGAGACTGAATAACAGGTAAACTAAACTAAAAAATAGGCAGTCTGAACCTCAATAAAAAAAAAAAAAAAAAAGAAAACTTGGCATTTAAATTTCTATGACACAAGTTCCTACATCGTAAAAAACATTACTGTTTTTCCACAGTATGGAACTTATTTTGTACTCAAGATCCTGAAACTAATCAGATGAGTCACCTGTATTTGTAGATATAAAGTGTTTGACAAAAAGGAAATCAGCAGAGAAAGCAAGCCTTCTCTAACCAGCTCAGGCCAAGAAATACATCTCTTCACATTGTTCCTCAAACAAACAAATAAACAAACAGAAAACCTCTTCTTTAATTCCTTCTCTTTCCCTCCGGATAGATGGCTTGTTCTGAATTTTGTTTTTGCTTATTTTAAGACTGAAGCCTGGAGAAATTTATATAATATTTTCCAAAATTATATATTAAAACTAAAAATATTTTAGTTTAACAAAATAGTTTTTACTCTTTATTTTTTTAGTTTTACTCTTTTTTTTTTTTTTTTAGTTTTACTCTGGGTGATTGACAATTCTTTTATTTATTTATTTATTTAAGTGGCAGCAAATTAACTGGCAATCAGTCTGAGAAAAAATCTGAAAAAAAAATGTTTTCTGTAACGTAAAAACAGCTTATTAGAAAAAAAATATATGTAATTTATTTATTTATTTATTAAATTCTCTTCTCATCTTAAATGCTGTTTTCTCAGGACAGGAATAATGAAACTCCTTTTGCATATACCTATTCTTCTTATCTCTGGATAAAAGTATAATTCCAGTTACTAGTTACCAGAAAAAAACAATAGATTATCTTCATACCCTTTAATAAATGAACTTTAGCTAGTATTAAGAAAAGAAAAACAAAACAAAACAAAAAAGAATAACATTTCATTCAGCCCAGAAGATGCATGTACAGGTAGATTATGGAGAAATCAGCATTTAAAGGCTGCCTAAGTAATACATATATATATATATATATATATCATATATATATATATTAAGGAAACAGGAATTTTCTATTTTATTTGCTAGCCCAGGTACATCAATTTGTTTGTTCTCTTTGGAAGTCACTGTACATCCCCTCAGTTAATTATTGTTAATGTTTTGCAGAGTGTGCTGCAATTAATTCTTGTTACTAGTGTAATTAGTTTGCTAAATATAAGCAAGTAATGCTTGGCCTCAGAATTTAGAAGCTCTTTTGTGTATGCTTTGTAACACTCCAAAACAGACCTAAAAACAGAGGCTTGAGCTACATCATGCTAGGGACCATGAGAGTACTGGGCTCACCATGCAGATGTGGGTCTACAAAAGCATTTGTTATCAAAACCTGTTTCAAATCCATAAAGATTATTAGGGTTTAAAACTTGTAAGTCAACTTGAAGCAGTTTTGAATGGTTCTGAGCTGATCTGAGATCTGTCATCAAACAAGAGAAGACTGAGTATCAAAACCTTTTTAAACTGGAAAAGCACATACATTTAGCATTAGAAATATGTAATTTCAGTATAGATTCAAGTAAAAATCAGTAGAAAATCTACCTTTTCTCACGTATTCTTCAACATTTTTTTTTATTCCTTTCTATTTATTTATTTATCTTTATTCCTTGTTTTAGCCTTATTTTGGTCTGAACATGCAACAGAGCTATGGCAAAGTGTATAGCTGTGCTTGATGGCAGACACAACCCACACAAAGTAACAAATTAGCATATTGCTCTGAAAACCTAAATAGTACTATTTTTAGAACACTTTGAAGAGATGACTCATTGTAGGGAATCTATAATTACAATACAGAAATCTCTTCCCAGGTGAATAGCTCAGTACATTTTAACTAAATGCCAGTATTATCTACTATCTATTATCAGAACTTTTTGTTTGTTTGTTTGTTTTTGTTTTTCCCGTTTATAAAGTAGTGACTGCTTTTTTTTTTTTTTTTTGCTTTTTTTTTTTTTTTTTTTTTTCCCCTAGAACTAATTTACAAACGTGAAGTGACAGTTCTTCAGCCACTTGCAGTTTACATGTTATTATCCTTATGTGGTGAGTATCAGGCTTGGATGTGCTGAGTTTACTTTTTTTAACCAATTCTTGTGAATTTTTTACTAGAGTGAATAGCCCAAATAACAAGAAATTGGCTGTCCTCATGGATTATCTACCATCTTGGAAAACAGAACTGAAGGGACAACACTGACAAACCATAGCAAATACTCTATAACTACCAACACCAATAACACATCCATTGTTGTTGTCCCCTTCCTTATTCCTTCCTGCCCACATGAAATGGCCACCCACAGTCCCTTAAAATGAGTGTGCAATTGTCAGTGCAAAGACCTCCATACACATAGTATGAAGTTGCACAGGAGAGCAGAAGACGGTGGGAAACAGAAAATCAAAATGCCTAGGGGATCCATAGAAGTGAACTGTGTTCAGGGTAAAATTATATTTTTTAACATTTCTGCAATTTGGCTCTTAAAGAAAACTCTTTCCAAAACTCATTTATTTAAAACTGAACAAAATGAAGAACTGAAAGGTTAAAAGAGATATAAAAGATGTCTGTTTCCAACTCAGCAACTTAACCCCAGATATAACTCCTTTTAACATGGTTTAAGAAGGGAAGGAGGAGGGAGAGGAAGAAGGAAATCAAGATATTACCTATATATCATCCTATATATCACTTACCTATTAAAGTCTAGGATGAAAATGGAACTTTTTTTCCCCCCCTCTCTCTCATTCCTATGCTACCCTGACTCTGTTTTTGTAGTTAGATGCATAATTTCCTAGACAGAGTGAATCTAGGTCACTAGGAGAAAGAAGAGCTCATATTGTAGAATGGAAGGAGTACTTCAGGTCTTTTTCTATGTTTAATTCAGTGTAAATTAATCCTAATCCTGCATAATTCCAGTGTAAATTAATCCTGCCTAAGCACCAGTCAGAATGTTACTCTATGGTTTATGGAGTAACACCAGTTCTCCCTCATCTCTATCAGCATGCCATCAGTTGGGCTAGCTCAGTATTCCACTGAAATATTTCATGACCATTCCATGGGGAAACTCATAGCAAATAAATGATTAGAAAGGAGTCTGCCTCTTTTCTTCTAGTCTGAACTATCTCAGTTGCTGTTTTGTTCCCCAGTTTATCTCAGAAGGTTTTCAATAATCCCACTGAATATCATACTAGACATTTCATCCCATTTTTATTTCTCTAGACCACACAGACACACAATTCTTCTTAAATAATTATCTGGTCTGTCTTCAGAGACATGTCATTACCTTCTGTAATCCACAGCTTTGAAGGCTTTAATGTCATGAAATCATCAGCTAAGGTTTTCTGAACAATGACACAGTGGGATTTGAATAAACTTTTGTTTGTTTATTTTAAAATTTGTGTTCTAAAACTCTTAACAGTAAATGGAAACTCTGAAGTTTCCTCAATAAGTATATAATATTTAGCTGTTATGATTCAATCACAATGTAAATATGGTACAGCTTGCAATATTTTTTGTTTTGGTGAATGAGTTTTCAAAATTACATGAGTCTTACAAGAATGTTTGGAAAAAATTGCTGCCATCTTTTGGGTGCACTCAGGAAAAAAAAAAGTTACATTTTGCTGAAAGTTCCAGCTGACACAACCTGTACATCTGCTTTACCATAGATAAGATAATTTGAAACTGTAGAAAGTTATTCTGAGATAACCAATATTTTCTTCTTTCCCGTTTTGTATAGTGATCCCAGCATAACATCTGTGCAAGAATTGTTTGTCTAGTTAAGGATTACTGGTGGGAATTAGCTCTCATTGAAAGATATGGCACTGAAGTTGAAGCCAAATATAACAAGAAAACACAGATTATGGATATACACAAAAAATTATATCAATTCCCAGTATTTAATTTTACTATATATGATTTTTATATAAATCTATACCTGGTCTTATTGTTTGGATAGGAAATAAAACTTGTTTAATCTACACAACTGTTACAGTTTAGTGTTTCAGATTGTTTATCCTGAAATTTGGAATCTAGCCTTTATATATTATATTATGTTTGGTTGGTTATTTTCCTCTTCTTTCTTTTTGAATTTCCTAGAGATGTAATAAATGTTTGTTGTGTGGCTAGTTCAATATACTGGCTTCTAAGACAAACACTGCATGTTCAGCAAAGTCTTTTTAAGAACAGGGAATGCTAGTGTCAGTGAGAATAAATAAGATGTGATAATATCTAGGAAAAAGAAAATGTTGTCTGGAGAAAATAATTACTCCTCTTAAGAGATACCATTGTCAGACAATAGCATATCTTGCCAGTACTGGACAGTGATATTAAAATATGCTGCAAATCTACCTTATCGCCTGGCATGAGACTCAGACATGCATTCTGTACCTGACGGGACGGGAGAGGAGAGTAACACCAGCTGAGCCATAGTGATACTCAGCAAAAAAGTCAAAGGAAGATGTGGGGAAGAAAACACTGTCACTGTAGGCATCCTCCACACTTTGCACATAGAGCTGACTTGTAGTTAGTAACATTTCTGCCTAGGCTCAAGGAGGCCAACAAGTTACATCAACACTATCCATCACTAAGTGTTGCAGTGACACGAGCACCTGCTGTAACACTAACAGCAGCAAGCTAACAACTCTCTCCTCTATACAATAGAGCCAAGGTTGCTTTTTCAAAAATATCTAATAAGAAAAGGCTTATATTATTTAACTGTAAGAAATTAAGCTGACTCACTGCCCCAATCATGAATTATAGACCTTTATCCAAATCATGTGCAAAAAAAAAGAGGAAATTAAATCTTATTAAATCATTCTTGTTCTGTGAACTTTACACTCCCAGTTCACCCCTTCTCCCAAAAAATGCTGCTGCTGAAACTTACCGCTTTTGCCAACTCCCCCTGCTCCTAGCATCACCACCTTGTACTCTCTGGAGCCTGCTGAAGAATTGCTGGAGGAGCTGATCATTTCATTTTCTAGCTCCATCTTGCACGAGGCAGAAGAAGGGAGTCAAAAGGGAAGAAAAAGCAACTGGCAGGTGCTTTCTATGATCTTAAAGAACTATAAAATCTCCGTTAAAAAAGAAAAAAAAAAAAAGCAGAAAGGAAAGGTATAATACAAGAGATACGATTTATCAGCCTCGCACTCGCTGCTGTGCCTGTGTTAGCAGGAGAAGGTCTCATAGCAACCACGTTAACAGCTTCCAATAAAAATCTCCCTCTGCCCCCTCCCAGCTCTGTATCATTCTCTGTGTTTCTCTTCCTGGACAGAAGCAGTTTTGTGAGGCTCAAGAGCTCTGATACCTCTGGGTGTTGCTGTGTCATTGGAATCAAATTTAGCAGAGACTCCAGAACAAAGAAATGGATCACATTTCCTAATTATGATGCTTATTATTGCACATACCACTCGCTTGAATTTTAAACAATAAAAGACTACCAGACAACCTCCTTGCCACCTTGGAGTTAAATATTCATCCTATGTTCAGCAAGTTTGCTATATTTACATTTAATACAATCAGAAGCAAAATGACCAACAATTTCTAAAAGTCTTTGTTCTTCATGAAGCGACCTGCAAAGTTTTCTAAAGTTTAGCTTGTCCCAAGATCATTTCATTTTATTTCAGTTTGCATCCTTTATTTGTAGAAATAAGCCACATATTTTGGAAAATATCTGTGAGGTGTTTTTTGTTACTGTTGTTTGTTTTTCCCCACACAGAACTTCAGAAGGGTCTTGGGACTACAGAGGAGGACCTATTCATCTATAAAATATCCATACAAGTAAAATAGAAGAACAAACTGTTATAAATATTTCATACTAATATAAAGTGGCATATCTAACCAACCTGGTCAGCCCTAGCAAATAAAAAAAAGTAAAAGTTCGTGAATAGCAGTGTGACACATTCTCTAATTAGAATTATCCAGTGAAAACCTAAAACTAAGGACAACAACTCTTCGTTGATTTCTGAAGATATCCTTAAAGAATGTAGAACATTCAAAGGATATGATAAGTAATAAGATCCTTTCTCAGTTTTAACTGTTACACAGTATTTTCAAGGACCAAAGAGAAACTACTGTAAAATAGTACTTACAGTACTTACATAAACTTGATCTCCTTTGCGATAGGTTTTCACGAAATGTGCAACAGTGAAGGAGATAAATGGAAGCAGGAGAGATACCTAGAAAAATAATCAGTCTTGAAAGTCAGACCCCTCCATCTATCCACTACTCCAAGTATTTCACAGGAAAAACACACAGCATTACGCAGGAATACAGAATTAGAAGTTACAACAAAAGAAAAAAAAAATCATAGCCTGATTAAGGATATGATTTAAATATAATGAAGAAGGAGGGAAAAAGTATAAAGAGCACATGAAAGACAGATTAACAGACTATGAAAATATATGATTGAAGAGAAGAAATACGCAGTAATGTTAATAAAATTATAATTGGAATAGAGAATGTGAACAGAACATTTTCTCTCCTAATACAAAGATTAGGAAACATCGGATGAAACAGGAAGTATCTGTATTCAAGATCAATGTACTTATAGGAGTCATGGCTGACTAAAGGAACTCCATTTAAAGCTTTTGGTAGTAAAAATGAACTTACAATGGAAAAAAAAAATAATAATTAAAAAAAATTATCCTTTGAGGACTACTAAATACTACCTCTTGCTCAAGAAGTACTCAAGACTCACACCAACAGACCCAGGAAAACACTGGAAAAAAAGTATCATGGCCTGTTCACAGCTACACAGAAAAAGAGAGAAGAGAGAGAGCCCCTGTTCTCTGTGTACTCCTTTGGAATCAGGATCTTCAACTTTTGTCCTACAGGACTGCTGTAATAACCATGCTCTGAGAAGTTCTGTATTGTTAGGCCTGGATATAAACCTCCGAATTCAGAAGGGTTTGTTCTTCAGAGCATAAAATATGATTTAAACAGGAAATTCTGAATGTAATAATGTGATGTCTAAATATTGAACTTCAGCAGTATGAGATTGGAAGGTCAGTAAACCACTTGTTAGAACAGCTGGGTTTTCCTGGTAATCTCCCATCAACACAGGAACTTCCTTCTCAGGAGTTTGCATCCCTGTAGCTGGCAGTAGCTTTGGCTGACATTAAAAACATCTGAGAAGTGGGTGGCTGTGGGGGTGACTCGAAAGACAAGCTAAGCAAAATATTCCAAAAAATATTAATGAAAATGGTATATATATAATAGATAAGATTTTTTTTTTTTTCCTCCTGTTAATGTTTGCCAGAGAAAAGTAAGTAGCAAGACTTATTTATTTTTTTCCTTTGTTTACACTGGAAAGTAGGAAGGATTATAGGAAATATAGAGAATTATGTTAGAGCAAGGAGCAAAATAAGACTGAAGTAAATGGAAAGCCATTTGCTCATCTTTTAACATAATCTAGAAAAATTAAGATAGAATTTTTAGGTCTAGAAAAGCACCCCTTTTCCCTTCCCTTCCCTTCCCTGATGAACCTTATTAAGTCTCTGTTTTAAGGACCAAGATTCATGTTTATTAAACTAACAAGAGCTTAATAAGCATCATTACATTATATTAACAGTTGGACAAACATATTCACCTAACTATTTCACTTCCACAGGCCCTTGTCCAAATCCTAAAAAGAGAATACTGTATTCCTATTTATAATGTAATATTTGTTCTAATTGTTTGGTGTCATAACTTCCCATTGACAGCCTCAGAGATAATTTGAAATGAAACATCTCAAAACACCTAAAACTACAGATAAAAAAAAAATAGAGATCACTGGTGGAAATGCTTTATGGAAAACAGGAAGACACAGTACAAAATACAAAAATTAAATCTAAGATGCTAGAGTATTATTTTCATATATTTTTTAAATGAATGGCTCATTCCACAACAAATTCTAATCCTCTGTTTCATTTCTTTGTTTCTCTGCTTTAAGGATACAGCTATCATGATGCAAATTCATAGAAAACTGTCCTCAGGCAAACAAGAGCAGCTGCAAAGATGAGAAAAAAAGCTTGGGATACTAGCCTGTAATGAACCATTTATTTAATAAATTCAGACACCATTGCTGTTTACATATTACTGATGACTATACAGTCAACCTGCTGCTCTTTTTTTGTTTGTTTGTTTGTTTCTTTTGTTTTTCCTATTTCTTTTAATTTGATATTCAATTTTTTTTTTTCTTTTTTAAGAAACAGCTCTTCTCTCTCTTCTAAGAGAATTCAGTATTCAAAATATAGCAATTGCATCTTTTGAATATCTGTTTTGTTTGTTAACATTGAAACAGCTATATGCTTAGATCTTTAAGCATGCTTTAGTCTTAAGCAAAAGACAACACAGGTATAAGATGAGCTTTTTCTGGAGAAAATGCCATTATAAAATATATTCTATTCATCCTACATCTGCACTCGCTCTGGGGGTATTGAATAAAATAATGAGATGTTAATACAACATGTAAATGTTCTGAAATTGTTTCCTGGAGCACTTTATGTTGAAGAGATTTTGTCAATTAACCTGGATAAATATTCTTGTCATTAGGCAGGGAGTTCATGAGTTTAAAAACTTGAATAGAAAGCAAAATACAAATCTTGACTGATTTGTGCTCCAGTAGGTGATGGGTTTAAAGACATGTGAACCGTTTAATTATAAGCAACTATGCATGAGCCCAGTGGGGGCCATTCCATGACCACTTTTTTGTCCCTTGTTCTTACATACTAGGCACAGCAGAGAGGGGATACATAAAAAGCATCCTTCAGAAAAGGGCTTATAAGCCCACCTTGCTGAAATGCTGTCGTGACAAGAAAGAGTGCTAAAGCAGAAATCACTGCACAGCTCTGGAGCACTGATCAAGCCTACTCCTGAGAAAAGCTACATTTGTCACACTAGCTTAACTTGATCAATTGTGAATAAAGCTAGAATGATAGAGTAATTGCTGGGAGACTTGATTTTTTTTTTTTTTTAAAACTTATATTTTACATTAAGAGATTTTACATATTCATTCCTAAATATTCTGAGCACCTCTGAATCATACTGATAAGAGACCTCCAACACACTGCAGAAGCAACTTTGTATTTTTGTAATTCATATTCCTACTAAAAATGCCCAGCGGTTCAATCACCCATCTGCCACAGACACCCTGACTTGCTTAGGCAATCCCCATCCTTTTTTCTGTTCTGCAAATTACTCATCTGTATGATGACTCATTGTGTCAAATCCCTCACCTTACTTGATGGGATACTTGACAACCTCCCACCTTGAAGCCAGCTCTTTAGCTCAAGCTGTTAAGACATACATGTATGCCTTTTGTTCTGAAGTTCTTATTTCTGTCCCTAGTGTCAGACAACATATTGTCCCATGTCTCTGTTGCAATGCATTTTAATTTAAGCCTTATTAGTAGGTCAAGTGGTAACAGCAAATAACAGGAGAAAAGTTGTGAGACCAACAGAAAATGTGAAACAACTTCAAAGCCCACAGAGTAATGGAGAATTGTGTTTCTGGTCTTGTCTTAACAGAAGGGAGGTTTGGCATGAGGTCAGAGCAATATCTTCCTCTTCTTTCAGGTCAAACAGTGCAACCAACACTGTGTAGCTGTTGTACAGTTTTAAGAATAGGAACAGTTTACCACATTCTTGAGAACATTCAAGAATATAACTTTCAGAAGATCTTGCAAGTCATGGCTCTAACTTCTAGAGCAGAAACACTGAAGATCATGTCCTAGAGCATGTCAAATAGAAAAAGTTATTTTCTCTGGTTTTCCAATAAAGTTTCACAACAGATGTATGATCTTACTATGAAGAAGTACTAATAATTGAAGGTCATTTGTAGATGTATGTTAAGTTTTAATTACATTAATAGATAGCAGTTTTATACTTTCAAACAGAACACTAATAACCAGAATGTGTGAATCTTAAAGACCTCAAAACCTTAACTATATGTAAACATCTTCCTCATGAGCACAAATATATGATTATTCCAAATCTATTCATCTTCCAGTGCTTTTGTGAGGAAGGAAAACAGTAAGCATGAATACAATGTGAAATACTACAAAAACAGGGTTAGGTGAGCTCTGCAAAGGTCATCTTTTTCATCCCTGTGAAGATACACAAATCCATTTAACTCAAACAATACTTGTTTAACCTTACTTTGTAGTCTTCCAGAGAAATAAATTATTTTATTATTATTATTTTT